GGTACCTCCGCTAATATAATCTCATCGATCTCTGAGAGTGATGCTCTTCTGCCTTTGTGAGTAACCCACAAGACTATATGAGCATGAGGAAAACCACGTTTCTGAAATTCGATAGTGTACACAACTGCATTGAGAGAATATTTTCTTAAATGTCAATAATAAATGAAACATATCAACTATTAACATGTATATTTTTTAACTTGTAGTTCGAATTTATAAATTACTATCACACTTACGTCAACAATTAATTTTTGGAATACATAAAAATTAAGTATTGAAAAAACATACTCTTACCATCCAATTCAGATCAAATTGAAGATTCTAATATTGAATTACTTCAACAAATCTAATATCGAAATTGTTAAAATTAAATATTGGAATACCTAAAAAAATACTTCGTAAGTATAAGTAAAAAAAACTCTTACCATGCAATTTAGATCGAATTGAAAAGTGTGATATTGAATTACTTTAACAAATCTAATATCAAAATTGCTAAAAGTATTACATGTTTACATTTAAAAGTTGAGTTAGTTGTAATTAATGGAAAATAGTAATCTGTAAAATGTTATACGGAGTAATTATTACCTGCTTTGACATTGCCAAATATCTTATTTTGCTTCAAATACTTTATTAGGAGGTCCAACTTCATTTTAAATAACCTACAAAGGATGTCTGACCTGTTGTGTGATTCAAACCTAAAGAAGCGCATAATCTTTGACCATTTAGGATTACATGTGAATGTTATGAAAAACATTCAAATGTCTCCTCTGTGATGCAGTATTCTACTTCTCTACAATTAATCAGGTTGAAAAATTCAATTTTGTTTTCAAAGTTTCACATTTTTCTAATTGATTCATACAACAAAGTTTCATATAAATATAGAAGTTTTCATTGAATTAAATAATTACGGATTACCGAGTCTAGATGTTCACTAAAATTCACAACAGCCATTCCATGCAGTTGGCGTGCGACATCATCCCAAAACATCACAACTGAAAAATTCTTTCCGTGCCTAACTTTGAGTTTCAATGTATTATCACCAGATTTCATTAGGTCTATGTAACCCACACTTTTCACAAATATACTTTTCATTATGCTTTTTAAAACACTTCACTTCAACTCACTACATTCAAGGTAGGCCCAATTCTATTCTGAAATGATTGAGTATCTCACCATAGAACCAACATCCACGCACCTACCCCATTTCAATGAAGATGATATGCAACAATGAAGATGATATAAAATTTGAAAAAAACTAAAAAAGAATAATGAAATTCATAAATTAAGTACACAATGGTCTTATTAAATTAAATTAATATTTAAGATGATTTAAAATTTATCTAGATTTAAATATGAATAATATACCTCTTTCGCCAAGGATAACTATGAAAGAGTTTTGGTGAAACCAAATTTATTAGAAGTAGAGGCGGATGCATTAGATGTGCCTGAGATAGCGCTAGTCAATGAAGTTTGTTGTTTAATCATAGTCATATAGCTTCAAGAAAGAAATTGGTTCATGATTATGATTTAAATAACTCAAAGTCTAATTTGAATACAATTGTAAATATATATTGCAGACTCCATTAAAAATAGTATATACTGCTCTCAAAAATCTTCAATATCGGGAATATGATCATCAAATAGCAATTTTGTAAAGTGTAATGTAAAAGATACACCCTTCGTATCACCGGCTGCATTAACTGTGATGGTCATTTCCATTAAAAAATGTAGCATAAATTTAAGAATTTTGAATATAGAAAAACGTTGCATTAAAAGTATCAAACGCTTGTTTATTCGACCCAATTGTAGGAGCACGATAACATGATTTTGTCCAAGAACTTCTAAGAACCTAAAAAATTGAGCTAAGTAACCACCCCACAATGTGCACCAAATTTTAATGTTCGTGGATGTAAGTTATAAACTTATGATTAAAGAATAATAAATAAATGCTTGTAAAATTATATATTGAGTAATGAAATTTATACTACCTGTATATTGGTTATGTGAAATCTACACCAAGATTTATTTTCATCTTCTGGTGTGACTAGTGCATAATTCGTATTGTATGCACCGATGACATCTAAAAAAAGCGATCAAATTGTTAATTGCAAATCTTTTCAAAACTGTAAATATGTGAAAAATCTAACTAATACAATTGTTGTTATTAATACATACCCAACAAATCAGGAGCTTCTACGTTGGGGTAATTAATAATATCAGAAAACTCTGTGAACTTACAGATGCTTTGCGAGAAGTATGAATGCTTTTATCGTCTTGAGAAATGATTTTTGTATTGTTTGTGATGCACAAACGATATGGATGGTGAGTTGGGCTCCAATTGCCTTGATTTTCTTTTACCAAAAACTTAAGCATTGCGTACAATTTGCCCACTTCGAATTTATCTTCAAGTTGAGGAATCACCTGGAGCGGAATTGTGGCTTGAATGCGTTTACCCTACAGTCGTACACATGAATTAGGCACCAATAATAAACAAAGTATATAATAATTCACATTGACTAATAGCATCTCCAATGCTACAATGTGCATGGTGCACATGTGCCATGAGAGAGACAAACACAAAATATTGATTTTATGACATTTCTCTCTCCTTCTTTCCACGGTCTTATGCGTTTTTGGTAAGTTTGTGTCTGCAATGTCAACCACAATGTCTACATCTAGACATTGTACTTGACATTGTGAAGAAAAACTTACCAAAATGATGTAAGATCCTTAAAATAAGGAGAGAGAGATTCTATTTATGGATTTTTAATTGGTTGTCTCTCATGCCACGTATGCACCGTTAACGTTTTAGAATTGAAGATGCTCTAAAAAGGTAAATTATTATCTTAAACAAACTTTCAATGTCAAACATAACAGCTAAACAAAAAATTAATGTCAAGCTTTACCTTTTAAAAACTTCAAACATAATTTACCTTTCAAATATAAAATGTCAAAGTACGTTTTATTTAAGGAAGTCAATAGTTCGTTAAACAACCTTCAAAGACTTTTTTCAATTGGCTTAGGGCATGTTTGGCACAACTAGCTGAAAAGATACTTTTATGAGCTTTTTAATAGCTGATAGCTTTTAGTGACTGAAAAGATCTTAAAAATAAAAGGTGGTAGCTGTTTGATGAAAAGCTGACTGTTTGATTTAGTTCGGTTTGGTATACAAGCTGTTAGGATTAATTAATACTAAAAGTCACTACCTTTTCTTAGATGCTACTCCCGGTAGCATCTCAAAAAAGATCTTTTAATTTTTGAAAAGCTCTTAAATATTGTCATGCCAAACACACAACTAGAAGCTTTTAGGAACTTTTTGAACAGTACAAAAGCTAGAAGTCAGGGACTTATGCCCGCCAAATATAGCCTTAGTAATTGATGAGAGCCGAATTTGAAAAGAAAGAAGTCATCTAGTACAAAACATTGATTCTTGGGAAAAAGTGCAAATAGGCCCATGTACTAACAAAAATAGTCAAATAAGCCCTTATTTAAGAGGCTCTGTCCGGCCGTCGCCATTTGGGTTGGTTCCCGGTAGATTTTTTTGATGAAATTGGTTGAACATCTTATTCATTAAGTCTAGTTTACTCATACAAAATTTCAGGTAAAACTTCACTCGAGAAGGCATTCAAATGAATTCTTTGAAATACGTAGTAGTTTTTAATAAAAGCATTGACCCTTGAAAAGGTTTGCGCGGGTGTATTCAAATACTGAAACACATATTATTGAAAATTTCAGTCGGTGTTTATTGATTCTTCGAAATAAGCAATTGTGATCAATGCAAAATACCTCATCATGGAAAACTGACCTCAAGATAGCAACTTATAGTTCATTCAATTTGTTAGTGAAGTTAAAAATACTTTAAGAATACTAATATGCTTTCATATAAAAATTTCAGAATGATTTCAAGATAATTTTGTTACCATCACAGTGTACTTATATGTTCATATTGAATCTCTTTTCATGTTTAGAAAATATGGTCTAAAGTTAGGAAATTGATTGTAAGTGTTCACATTTTGTTTGTATGACATATAGATTGGTCCAAGTCTGTCCAACTATATGAGCTCTAAATCTAGGTAAGAATTTTATAAACTATCAACTCACACGAAAGTTAACAATTCTGAAAGGTTTTAATGTTTTTATTATAAACTGGCCATGCAAGTGATTATTAGAGAATGGTGCAGCTGCCTAATTTAGGTTTTTACTAATGTTTTTCACCATCTGGTTAGAAAAGTAGAGCCATGTAACCTTAATCAAATGTTCATGATATGGAAGGAATCTTATTGGATTAGATAACTCTAATATTAGCATTATTGTCTTATTTTTCAAACAAACTAATTTGTTTGATAATTTACTAATTTAGTCATACTAATTTGTACCTAATTTGGAAGAACAAAAGGCAAATAACTATATTTGGTTTGTGATATCTGGATGCTCATATTAAATGTACTTTCATCTGGAATGTGATATTAATATTGTTAACTGTTGAGTGATATAGGAACATATTATTTGTTTATATAAAAAAATAGGCAGTCTTAGAAAACAGTTAATTCCCAAAAATGTAATAAAATTACAGATGCAGTTTCATGAAATACCATATTAGTTTATTTACCTCTTCGTCATCAATACTAATTCATAAACTCGTAGACCCGAACTGTTTCAGAAGGGAACCGTCCATTTTCTAGTAGCACGCAGTAGCAAAGCAACAGTTTTATCCAAATTAAGTGTAACATCAGACAAAACTTTCTTAACTGGCGCCATATTCTACATTAGATGGTTAGTTTAAATTGTAACTACTTCAAACTGTAAATAACTAAAGATTCAAAGTAGCTAAAATAGTCATGTTAAGAAAATTGAACTTCAAATATGGAATACCAAAGTCCAAACATTAGGTTACAGTATTTAGATAAATTCATGTTAAGAACATGGTGTTCAAATAATACTAAAAGCACATACATGATGATAAGAACAGAAAAAATAAAATCAACGGGGTGAACCGTTGCCCAGATAATCAACGATAAATAAATACCGTTGCCCAGAGCCAAAAGGCTAAACCAACTTTTATTCCAAGATGAGCCAGAATGAATCCTAACAAGGGGTTTAAATACCCATCTACTAATAATTAAACTAGGAAACAAAATCCTAGAAATCCTAATCAACTCTAACAGAATAATAAAGATCCTAATCAACTCCAAATAGGAAAGAAATAATAGAAATCCTAATTAACTCCTAATAGGAAACAAATATTAGAAATCCTAATTAACTCCTAATAGGAAACAAATCAGGAAAATTAAAAAGAATAAATATTAATTAAACAGCCCGTAACCAGCCCACGGAGGTAGGCTCAAGCCTGTCCCGCCTTCGGTAAACCCACGGGGGCTTCTTCCCCTCTTCTTCCAAGCCCAGATTCTGCTTCATATCAATTCCATCCCTCTTCGAAAAAACCTTGTCCTCAAGGTTGAAATCCGGAAACCAGCTCATATTTGTCCCCGGGGGCTGCCCCGTATCTTGAGGAAAGCTGCCACTTGATCTTTTCAGCTTGTTCATGAAATACCCCAAGTAATAAGCATCGGACAGTCCGGGAACCTGACTGGACAATTGAACAAAAAGGTTATTATATTCCTCTACGGTTCCCAACTGTTTGACCCTGAACAGCCGTTTGAATCGGCTTTCTTTGAACCGTGAATCAAATCGGGCCACCTGTGCTTGTGTAAATTTCTCCCAGGTCATGCTCGGTTTTTGTGCCTTCAACCAGGTCAACCCGTCCAAGGCAGCTCCTTCCATGGCTACCGTAGCTGCTGTCACTTTCCTCTCAGGTAGGGTTTGATTAATTTCGAACTTTTGCTCAGCCCTAGCTATCCACCTAATCGGTTTTTTTCTGTCGAACATGGGCAGCAACGTTGGAGGAGTGCTGCGCGGAGGTCTATCGTTGTGTGTTGCCGCTACGATGGCGGCACCGATGACTGTGTCTGATAGTGTCTCCGCCGTGATCGATGGCACAAGGGCCTTGGTCAGCGCCGCAAGGGATGCGGCGATCTCATCCAGCCGCCTGCCGTTTGCTTCCAGGGTTTGCTTCATCTCTGACAAATGTTCACTGATAGATCTCGTCATTGTGGCGGGACGGGATCCGGCAGGTCGGACCAATTGATAAGAACAGAAAAAATAAAATCAACGGGGTGAACCGTTGCCCAGATAATCAACGATAAATAAATACCGTTGCCCAGAGCCAAAAGGCTAAACCAACTTTTATTCCAAGATGAGCCAGAATGAATCCTAACAAGGGGTTTAAATACCCATCTACTAATAATTAAACTAGGAAACAAAATCCTAGAAATCCTAATCAACTGTAACAGAATAATAAAGATCCTAATCAACTCCAAATGGGAAAGAAATAATAGAAATCCTAATTAACTCCTAATAGGAAACAAATATTAGAAATCCTAATTTAACTCCTAATAGGAAACAAATCAGGAAAATTAAAAAGAATAAATATTAATTAAACAGCCCGTAACCAGCCCACGGAGGTAGGCTCAAGCCTGTCCCGCCTTCGGTAAACCCACGGGGGCTTCTTCCCCTCTTCTTCCAAGCTCAGATTCTGCTTCATATCACATGATCATTTATACCTAAATCTCTAAGAATGGCTAGAGAGTTTATGTTGTGATTCTTTGATTCTTCATATACTTTTCAACAGCTTGATCCAAATTTAATTTTTTGTAGAGGCTGTTCCTAAATTATAGGCTAAAGGCATACTATTAAAACTTAGAAATAAAATGAATCCTGATTCCAGACATTTGATTCACAATTGATTTTAAGCAGGATACTTCATTGAAATCACTTAGTAAAATTCAGGGATTAGTACTTATAATCCTGGTACAATTAAGCAGGTGACTTCTTTTAAATGACTTGGTAAAATTTGAAAAGAAAGAAGTCACCTGGTACTATTAGAGGCAGTTCCAAGTCAAATTAAATGAATCCTGATTCCAGACATACTAATCACTATGAAATCTTTTATTGGTTCAGTAGCTATGTTTTTCTAACTGTTTTTATTTTCTAAATCTTTTCTAAAAAGGTGTTTTTGACTGAAATCAGATTAAATTCTTTTATAGATAAGTTCCATCATTTGCAATGGAGCCAAAGATTCATTATTTTTTTGGCTTGAGGATATGATGGAATAAAGCAAAATGGCTCACCAAACTGTCTGCTCTTCTTTGTTATGAAGCAGCAGTCAGTCCATGCAATTTTAGACGCGATTTTCATTTTGGGTCATCCGAAAACAGTCTCTCTATGCTTTAGTACAGGGGTAAGACTGCGTACATCCGACCCCCCTTACCCCACCATAGGTTGGAGCCTTTGCAGGACTGGGGTAAATGATGATTGATAGTTAAATAAATTTGATTACAGTTCCAAAATTAGAGGCTAAAGACATAGTATTAAAACTTAGAAATAAAATGAATCCTGATTCCACACATTTGAATCACAATTGATCGATTTTAAGCAGGTGACTTCTTTTAAATCATGTAGTAAAATTCAGGGATAAGTACTTATAATCCAGGTACAATTAAGCAGGTGAGTTATTTTAAATCACTTGGTAAAATTTGAAAAGAAAGAAGTAACCTGGTACTATTAGAGGCATCAAACATACTTAACATCTATACACCTATCTCTATAACAAAAGAAAAAATATGGACAGATTTATGGCAGAAAGTCAAGCATTTGTCATCAAACTCATTAAAACAAACTTTCAGTCAATTTTCTAACTAAAAAGAAAAATATATGGACAGTTTTATCTCGATTAACAGTTTTATATATCAAGTTTGGATTAGTACTTATCCTGCAATCATTGGATAGCGGCTAGATTGAAGATTCTAATACACTTTTAGGATAAACACATGTAGTTACTATAGCTGATTTGTTTATGGTTGTGTGCATAGCGTGAAAAGTAACACTATTCTCCCATCTCATTTATTTATGTTCATAATAAGATGAAAATTCCAACAACAGAAATCATCATTCATCACAAGTTGTTGTCACTGAATCTATAAAATATGATATTCTATCAACATAAATCATTATACATATAACACTCACAATTGTATAAATCTTACAGCATGATTTAATTCAGTAATACTCATTATAAGAGTTGGAAAAAAACAGAGAGAGCAAGTTTTAATTCAGTACTAATCATTATGAGAGTTGAAAAAAACAGAAAGAGCTGTTATTGAAAATTTTAATGGTATACCTGTTGCAAATTTGCCTTCAAATAGCCAGAAGAATGAGAACGGCTGAGTGGATTTGCGTGCGTGTATTACAGGTTGTATGTTTCTTATGTATATATACGGAGTATATAATAAAGATGGTAATTGGGGTTGGATGGAATTAGGGTGAATAGATGATGTATTTAAGGTTAATTAGGATTCTCATCTTATTAAAGATGTATGTTTCTTTAATAGTACACGTTAAATAAGGGAGTATACTGAAAAACATCGAGTATGAAATTTCCCCCTGAAATTGATCGATTGATCTTTGCCGTTATTTTTAGTTAGAGCTCTAATCCTTCAATGTGCACAGTGCACATGTGGCATGTGAGATGGCCACACAAATATTAGCAAATAAATTATCTCTCTTCTTATTTGAATGATTTTATATAATTTTGGTAAGTTTTTCTCTGCAATGTCAGGGAGACCGTCTAGACGTAGATATTGTGGTTGACATTGTTAAGAAAACTTACTAAAATTGTATAATAAAATCATTCAAATAAGGAAAGCGATAATTTATTTAATTATATTTATGTGGTTATATCTCATACCACATGTGCACGGTGCACATCGTAGCATTAAAGATGTTCTTAGAGCATCTCCAATGCTAATATGTTAACGGTGCATACGTGGCATAAGAGATAGCCAATAAAAAAACAATAAATAAAATGTCTCTCTCCTTATTTGAAGGATTTTATATCATTTTGGTAAGTTTTTCATCACAATGTCAAGCACAATGTCTAGATGTAGACATTGTGTTTGATATTGCAGAGAAAAACTTACCAAAAACACGTAAAACCGTGGAATGAAGGAGCGAGAAATGTCATAAAATCAATCTTTTGTGTCTATCTCTCTCATGCCACATGTGCACCGTGCACATTGTAGCATTGCAGATATCTTAGGGTTTTGGTGTTGTAAATAAAGATTTGGGATATCCTTCTCATATATATTTGATTTCGAAATAATCTATTCTCTTAACCAACTTATTGAGGATTTATTGTTTTTTTTATTAAGTTTTGGGGTCTGTGATGTGCAAGGGTAAGCTTTGCAAATTGAAGAGGAAACAAACCTGGGATTTAAAACCACAAATTGCATTTGCTTGAGTTTTGATTTACTTTACCTTGATTCATGTTAAAATATCAATGGTCCAGGGCTTTAGGTATTTCGTTATTAATCCATGTTTTTTTTGTTTCTTTTACCAGCATGTATTCCTGGCAAAACTACTTTAAGTAGCCATTGTTGTCCAGAACTGCAGCTTTTTCCCCTCACAATGACCCAGTTGATAACATACCCATTCCATTTTTATGGCAAAGTTTGTCTACCTACCTACTCTACAATCAGCGGTTTTGAGTTACCCAGGCACCACTGCCGGAAACAATCCCTTTCCACCCCTGCAGCACCCAATGGCCATCTTTACCAAACAAAAAGTCTTTGTGATATGCTTCCTGCACTTTGTCTCTTAACTTCTTCAAAAGTTCAGGGTTCAGGGGTACAGGCTTAAATCCAGCCCTCATATTGCGACTTTGCCACTGCTTGTATGTTTCAGGCCTCTCTAACCTTTCCTTTCCCTCGCATGCTACAATATTTGCTATTGAAGACCCCATAAATGCTTGTTCAAAGTTCAACCTTTGACTATCGTTGTTTGGGAAAATAGCTTCAAACATATCAAAGAGTGTAGAGTAGAAGAAGAGAGTCTCTCGGAACCGATTGAGAAAGAAAGGAGAGTTGTGAGATGCACTAAGCAAAGAATGCACAAAAATATGAGGGTTTACTTCCTGGATGAAGTTTAAAACACCATCTCTGGGACTGTGTGCACCACATACTGTCTCATCTAGCATTCTTTTGACTCGAGATGTACAGTTAACAGCAACCACCAGGGACGGATCCATGATTTTGAGTCAAGGGGGGCGAATTCTTTTTTGTTAGTGTAGGGGGCGAATTTTTTTCCCGCTAGTATAGCGGGACGATTTTTTTCCCGCTAATGTAGTGAGGTAAAATTGTTTTCACTAGTGTAGCGGGACGATTTTGTTTTACTATTGTAGGGCTCTGAGGCTAATTTTTATTCAAAAAATTCATTTGTACATACTCAATGACATTTAAATCTATTACATTATAAGTTTAGACAATGGAAAAGTAACTTTAATATTGTAAGCGTAAATGTTCTAGAAAAAAGTATTGATACATTAAAGCATAAGAAATTGCAAATCAAAGGAAATTAATATGAAAATAAAAAAGGATATACTATAACATTTTGTCAAATTACTTGAAGGAAATTTATTTGAAAAAGGTACACATCAATCAATGTCTTTTAAATAACTTATGTCTGGTTTAACCACATGCATGAAACTTATCAGAATAAAGAATTGGTTTTTAAATTGTATTTTTGCTATCAAGGAGGGTGTTCATGGGTCACGAGGAATTTTCTTAATATTAAAATAGTATGTATGAGATTATTATTTTTAGAATAATATTATATGTAGTATTTTTAATTCATATATATGGTGCATATTATATTTGTATTAATGCTAAAATACGTTAAAGCGTATTATTTATGCAATAAATTGCTTTTAGATCGAAAGTAAGAAGTAAATGAATTGTATAATTTCATGTCAACAAACATTTATATTTTAGATTCACTTCACATGATCTAAAAACTATTTAACTAGTGTGTCGTTTGACCTTTTACAAAATTTAGTACTAATTATCTAATAAACATAATTAAATATTACAAAGCTAGCAATTTTCATATAATAAGTATCCTCAGTCTTAAACTATCTACATTGTTTTAGATTTTACTTCTTTTAAATCTCCAATTAAGTATTACTCCCTCTGTCCCGGAAAATTGTTCACGGTTTCCTTTTTGGGCCGTCCCAAAAATTTGTTCCACTTTCCTCTTTTGGAAAGTTTTTTGTGGCTACAATTCATTTACTTTTTTCTTACTCAACCACAACCATACATTTCCACTTTAATCTCACTTTCTTAAACTCCGTTCCAAGTCAATGCGGAAACAATTTTTCAGGACGGAGGAAGTACACTATATAAGGCTATATATTAACTTTGAAAATTAAAAGTTAAGGGGGGCGACAACATATATATCTAATTAAACTATGAAAATTTTATGAAAATACTACATATATTATATAAAAATTTTAGTCCAAGGGAGGCGGTCGCCCCCCCCCCCCCCCCCCAAATCCGTCCCTGGCAACCACCTCACCCCTCGTGAGCTTCAAGTCATCAATCTTGATTGCCTCCCATCTCTTTGCTGTGATGGGGTTATATTCAAATGGTACTCCGAAACGTTGACAATATTTAGCCAAACGAAAACCAGTGTCCACTATCATTTGTGATGGACGAAAACCAGATTGGGGAAGGTCAATCCCAGTTATTCGGAGCTTTGGAGGGCCACGAGGTCTTCGTGAAAGATCTCGAATAAGAGTGGGCCATTGGATGCCATGCAGAATACCAAAGTCTATAACGTGCAGTGATGCTCCTCTTGATGCTACTTTGTAAATAATTTTATTCGCAAAGAAGATTAATATCCTCATAAATGGCAAGGATGACAACAAATGGGATTTCTACATTTCGGGAATTGGGGCCTTATTTTGATACAATAATGAAGGATTAAGTTGCGTTCCAGTTCCAGCCATCCGGGCCTCAAGACCATCAGCAAATGCATGTGAACCCTTTGGTTTGCCTCACCTACAGGCAAAGAGTACTGCTTGTTGAGTATGTGGTTTTGTTGATGACTAACCATGCAGGTGGAACAAGGGACAGAACCGCTCCCAGTTCCTTAAGGAACCAAGGACAAGACTATCCTCAGGTCCAAATGGACATTATTATTGTGTTGTTGACTAACCATGCAGGTGGAACTAATACTGAACCATATCTAGTTCCGTGATATGGTTTGAATTAATATTGATTACACCTACTTGATTACACCAAATAATATATACGTAATTTGCATTTGAGTGGTCATTTGGGTGATTATTATCTTTCCATACTTAAATATTGTTTAAATACTTTATGGAAAGTATCTTTACTTAATGTGAGTGTATGGTGCATATTTTATTGATAATATACGTAAAATGCTAAGTACTCACTTTAAGTTTGAAAAAGTAATCCTTAGTGGAAATATTAATTGAATATCCTTAGGATCTTAATTAATGAGTGCATCCACTTAGAAAGGAAATTTCTTTTAAAAAAAAATAAAAGGGTCCATATTAATGCCGTTGCATGATTACTTTTATATGTTAATACCTTTTTGATATTTGACCAAAGCTTTTGGAAAATATAAAAAGGTTTTCTTACCTAATATGCCAAACAAAATAATATCGGATTGATTGACTAAGCTTGTGTTTTGTTTGAGCAAGGCCTTAATACTTCTTGCCATAATTTGTCATTTGTGATTAATTGCTCTAATATATAATTCGAATAAATTGATAACTCTTTAAAAGGTAACCCATCACCTTCTTGCTTTGAAAAGGTGCAAATATATTATTTCCGTATAAGGTGTTGCTTGAATATATTCCAGATATGCACCTTTGTATTACAAAATATTCTTGAGATCTTTTACTTTGACCAACGTATAAGTAATGCCATGCAAGGAAGGTATTTCAAATTTATCATGGCAAGTCCAAGCATTCAAGAAAGCCAACGAACGATGCTATATAATGGACTAAAGAGTATGCTAACGTGTGGAGTGCTGAACCGAGAAAAATATTTAGAAGAATCATTCAAGAAAAGGATCAAGTCCTTGGCGTCTGAAACTGCCCGCTCGGAGTTCTAGATAGAGTTTCTCTTTTCCCTTTCATATTGTACTTGGAATATTGAGGCTTAATTGGCTAGAGTAGCTGCCTCGGGTTAAGTGTGTGTGAGAGCTTTGTGATAAAGCTGAGAGGCTCTCTACCCGCAAGGTAGAGATGCATAACTCTTCCTAGAGAGGATAGAGTTGGGGAGGCTCAAGGGTAGATTAGGAGAATCACTCTTGTAACTCTTTCAAAGGCTTGTTTAGTGAAGTTGTTTAAAATTCCTCCGAGGGAGGTCGAGGTTTTTTAATCCCTTTGAGCCAAGGGATTTTTCCTCGTTAAATTCTCGTGCACTTTACTATTTCGCAATTCCCTTTATCCCACACTAGAACTCGGCGAAAAACTGCCACGGTTCCACACACACACAATTCACCCCCCCTCTTGTGTTGCTAACCGTTTTCATCAATTGGTATCAGAGCCGGTCTTCACCACATAAAGGCTAATACCTTGGGAAGAGATCCGGCAAAATGAATACGGTTGACCGATTGGAAGAAGGGTACTCGACTCAACGACCACCATTGTTCAATGGCAAATACTATCAATTTTGGAAGAGTCGGATGGAAAACTTTATCAAGG